TTTTTTTTATCCTGGTAACGAAACTGCTTCTGCACTGATAACGAATAATTAGTAAAATTAGTTACGTCAACTAAATTTTTTTGCTGTCACTACGAATATGCAGTAGCAACGACGATTTTACTGAAAGAGCAATATTATTTTTCTCCGTGTACACTTTGCAGCTGACTTAATGAGACGCGGCGGTGGTGGCATCTAACCAATGCGGGTTAGCGTCGTAAGCGTTTAACGTGTTAGCCTTTGACTTATCATGCATTTTTTAATACGCCGTGAACGCGAGCGGGACGATAATGAAACGTGTAATTTCGTATCGTGCTGCGCGGAATAATGCGTCGCGCTCCACCGACTAGGATTCGGAGTCTCGGTTTTGCGCGAGCAAGAAGGTAGTCGCCTGGAGATGCATAAATCAAGAAGCGCCACTGATTAAGGATCCCCGCCCCGGCGTGGGTCTCGACTTCTTCCTTGAGCTTAATGTAGGCACACTAGGATGCAATATCGCGGCATCGTGGCCGCAACTTTCGAGCGTTTCCTCCCCATTTCTTCTCGTCTTCTCGTTTCCTACGGCGAGCATCATGGCCGTGTGATTACGCCGCAAGCATACGCGCGGCTCATTACAGGGAAAATTAGCGCGTCGTTATGAACGCGCGGTCTGTATCGGTCTCGTAAAAAGGGAAATATGAGGAACAGGGGATAAGCAACGGGGATGAAGTGGACAGGAAGCGCGTGGCGTCTTCTCGCGAGAAACTCTTCTGCCGGGAACGCGGAGTTTGGCTCAACTCCGAGGGGGAGAAGGAGGAAGCCGTTACGGCTTTGGAAGCACGATATTTGCATATAACGAGTGATTACGGAGACGCGGGAAAGTCGGGAAACTTTTGCCACGAGTTTGCAATCGCGTACAGGATGCGAGGAAACTTTCCGCGCCCGTGAACGCGACTGCGACTGCCATGCAACTGTCACACATATCCTCTAATTAAGTTTCGAGCATTTTCCGAACGCCACGTTACACCGTGTCACCGCGGAATCGTCGGGCTCAGCCTCTTTCAGCCACCACAGCTGTGCTCCGACAAAAAAAAATTTGCAACTTTCTTTTCCTTTAACTCACAATAACCGAATGCGTCCTCCTCCTTCGACGAGTCTTTGAAATCGAATGCAAGATATTTTTGTGCGCTCTAGATTTTTTCGGGAAATACGACTCGAAAAATAGAGTAAAATTTGAGTTAACTCTTCGCTGGTATAGAGAGCGAATTCTCTACTCTGAATCTTTCAGTGAATATTCTTTTTCGAAATTAGAGAGTGAACTTTTTCGATGACTCCACTCATCACGGAAACAAATTCACTCTAGTCAATTGAAATCTTTCACTGGTATGTCCTAATTTAAACTTAGAGTGAATCAAGGAGATGCTGAAACTGAAAACTTTACCGACAGAATACTAATATTTTTCTGCAAAGTTTACGTCGCATTGGTCTTTCAGAATTATAAATGCTTTTACGCAATTAAAATACATACAAAAATAAATAGGAGCATTGTTCAATAACAAAATCGAAGAAAAAATTTTTTAATGTAAAATTTCAAGCTGACAGCGTAATATTTAATCCAAATGTTCCGCTTGTACATACCGAAAGTGTGAATGCCTCAAACAGAAAAATTTGTAAGAACATTGCTGTACCTTTATATCTGAATTCAAAAGATTAAGGGGGTATACCTAGTTAGGAGGTCGAAAAAGGACGAATTTTCGTGAGTTTTTTCCGAGAAAGTATATATATATTTTTGTATGAAAATTTTTATATTCGAAAGAATCTACTTTAACAAAGTTCTTATATTTTTTTTAATGTAAAAATACTAATAAGTAAATAAATTATGGATTAATGTCCGGAAAGCCGTTTTTTAAAACGCGTTTTGCAATGACCACTGCCGTTTGGAACCAGGTTATCTGAAATGAAAAAACCCCAAAAATTTAATTAATACATGAATTTATCTAATCTAATCGTTTGATATTTCAAAAAATTGAATTGCGACAAAATGGTGACAAACGGCATCAAAGTTAAAGTTTTGATTTTCATAAAGAAAAACCGATATATTTCGTCCATTAAAAAAAAGTACGCATTGGAAAAAAAATCCTTCGATTAAAGACTAAATTTATATGTCTAAAAAAGCATGTAGAATTTCAAATTGATTGATGCAGTAGTTTTTGAGACATTGTGGTCATCGATTTTGAAAACACAGTTTTGAGAAAAACGTGTTTAAAGTTTCAAGTGCAGTTTGCTAAATTAAAAAGTTTATTTTTCAACTTACACAGTTATCTATTCCACACTTACAGAGTTATCTATTCCAGGGCCATATAGAGTACATGCTCTCATGAAGTTGATGCTTCTAAAATGTCGATTTGTTGTTGTCGACGATGTATTCTTTCCGGTTACTTTGCTGCGCGCAATATTCAGATCTGTCTATGCATTTAGCGTCTTCTCTATTGACATATTGATAGGCATTGGGACCGCTGCTTACTCCCATATATTGTAGCATCTGCATTAATGTTATTGAGTCCTCATTAAATATGCAAACAGCGATATATGTCGGTAATTCAACAATAATCGAGCCACTTGGAATAATTTTCGGGCTGGTTTTTCAGATCAATTAGTTATAACTCTCATTATTGTTTTGATTAAACCCGCCAACATATCTGTGTAGTAAAGTATCTTTACTAAGATCTTCATAGATAGGCTTGCGGCACAATAATTTCTTTCTGCATCTTGAGTTTTTTGCAGATGCACTAAAACTTTCCTCACTGTACTCCCATTATTTTTGAATTAAATACATTCTTCCTTTTTTTACTCTTGATTTTCGAAAACTATCTGATTTTCTTAATTCTCTTGAACACTTTTTGCGATCCATAATTCATAAAAGAAAATAAAGCGGACTGTATAGCTTAACGTCAACTGCTGCACCAGCGTCTCCGGGTTTCGTGCCTGTTAGTCTAAAAGAGTTCGTTGAATTTACTGTTATAATGTCTCAAAAGATTTCTCGTATTTGTTAACACAAGTATATGTTTTAGTAACATACAATAGATATAATATGCTTTAGTAACATACATAGATGACCAGGCAGGTAGAAAGAGATAATATTTGTCCCTCGTGCAGCTACCGCGCTAGACTACTTCGACGGACGTGTACTCAAAGTCGTGTATCTCCATGAAAATATAGCGGATTAACTTAAATTTTGAGGATTATAGCGGAGCAATTTAATATTTCTAATATTATATACTTTAAGAAAATATAATTCTTACAAAATCGATTTTTTTGAAATTCCTAACTAGGTATACTCCCTTAAGGCTCCTCTGCAGCAGCCATGCTGGATTTGTGACGTCAGAAGCGAGGAATGTGTGACACACAGACAAAATCTGCGTACCATTTCTAAATAAAGATAAATACGGACCAAAGAACACTTGAGATTGCTTAAGCATACTTGTAAAATTTTCTGAGAACTATCCCTTTCCCTGACGAACAGTAAATAGTTGTATGATAAATGGTGAAATGAAGCACGCAGACAAAACTCATTTCATCATTTCACGTGTCTCATTTCACCATTTATTATACGATTATTTATTGACCATCAAGAGAAAGGGATATCTTTCGGACAATTTTACAAACGTGTTCAAGCAATCTCAAATTCTCTTTCGTTTATATTTATTTTTATTCAGAAATGGCACGTAACTTTCGTCAGCATGTCACATTCCTCGCTTCTGACGTCACAAATTCGACATGACCGGCAAGATACAAAGAACCTTAATAATACCCGAAAAGTTTGCAGGAAGACTTCTACACATGCATGATTAAGTTTTCCTCTGAATATGGTAAAAGAGGATAACACACATTTACGTGTATGTACAAGTTCTGTATGTACAAGAAATACGAAAATGTGTGATTGTGTTAGTGACGATCGTGTTTGTATTATCGAGTTCGTCAAAATGACTTCAGCATCTCTTTAAGTATCTTTAAGAATCTTAAGAAAAGTGTATTAACACGTTTTTCCGAATGAATATTTGAAATTGAATGTTGGATATTTTTGCTCTCTGAATTTTTTCGGGGGATTCCATTTGAAAAATAAAACGAGATTCGAGTGGCTTTTTGCTCGTACAAAGCGAATTCTCCACTCTGAATCCTCAAGTGAATATTTTTTTTCGAAATTGGAGAGTGCACTTTTTCGGTGACTCCACTGCCACAGAAATAAATTTACTCTAGTCGGTCGAAATCGTTCACTGGTATGAACCTAATTCAAACTTAGAGTAAATTAAAGATCTTGAAAGTCTTAAGAAAAATAGATGCATTTTTCCCGAAAAATCTTTGAAACTGAATGCCGGATATTGTTGTGTTCTCTAAACTTTTTCAAGAAATTCCACTCGAAAAATAGAGTAACAGCTGCATTACTCTAATTCGACTGACTCTTCACTCATATAGAGCAGATTCTTCACTCTGAATTTTCGAGTGAGTATTTTTGAATTGAAATTGCTGACTGAATATTTTCGATGTCTACACCGTCATAAGGATAAATTCACTCCATCCGATCACAATCGTTCACTGGTATATCCTAATTCAAACTCAGAATGGATTAAGGATCTTACGAAGAGTGGTTTAAACTCTAAATTCAAGTTAAAACATTCACTCTTGCGATTCCAAACGACATTACTAGTTTCAACTCATTTTCAGTGAGACTTCACTTCAAGAAATCTAGGCAGTAACTAATCTTTCTCACATCGAAATTCCGTCAAACTTCCAGCCAAAGTTAAACGAGTCTCTGTTACACAATTCGCGAAAGAAACTTTGGTGCTTTTATTTCCTTTTTTTTTAATAATAATTCCGAAATTATTAACGACATCAGGATCTTTTGTCGGTTTGATTTTTAATATCTTGTTGCCATAGTGACGCTCAGTTCCGGGACATTCTGTGTATCATAAAGCGTCGTTTATTCGGTCATGTCCAATAATTCCGTATCTCTTGCCTCGTTTCAGAAATGGCACCCAGGCTTAGCGAAGGCGGCGCAGAGGTGGGCCGATCGCTGCCTCGGTTTAGTGCACGACAATGCAACCGGCTTGTACCTGGATGGCTTCGGCCAGAGTGGACAAAACATTTTCATCAGCACGGGTCGCACGCTCTGGTGAGATATTATTAAATCTTGTTTACTTCTAGTTAGCGAGTTTGCGCTGCCAGTCGGTATATTTGCACAGGTGCAACTCGGGAACGCGCGCGAGACTTTATTTCGCGGGAATATGTGGCGTCCGTCCACGTCACGGAGGTGCCGTTAATCGCTTAATCGCCGGCCCGGTTATTTACGCAGAAAAGTTGTCTCCTCGCGAAAACTGCCGTTCGCGTTAGGCAACGCGCGGGAGCAACTTCGCCCGTTAGATCAACGCAGAGACGCGACGTGAATTTTAGTCCTTTGCGCGACTCGAGGGTGCTGAAACGGGGCGCGTTATCTGAAATTTCTCATATAAAATTCGAAGTCTTGTAGAAAGCGCCTTCCAGGTTTCAAGTCAGTCTGAAAACCAGCGTTTTTTGGCTAGTTTAGATGTACACACAGAAAAATATATGCTGTATTTTTCAAGTAAATGTTGTTTGTGTTTCAAATATTTCATGAGTTTATATATTTACAAATTTATTATGAGCTCATCATAAGTATCAAATTTGTCCAAAATATATTCTGTATCCAAATAAATTTAGCATTTCACAATCAAGAATACTAAATTAAAAGAGAAATTCGGTGTACGTTCACAGTAAAAACATTTTGTGTCTTTGTTAATATTTTTCTGTTAAATTTTTAACATATTTATGTGTTAACATATTATGTTTGTATTATCCGAAAAAAAATATTTTGCATAAAACTGATATATCTAACATATATAAATATTAAAGTTACACATTTTATACTTCAATATAGATTGTTATATAGATGTTAATTCTAATGAAAAATTATGTTTCTACCACCTTATAATATATGTAATACAAAGTATTGTGTAATCTACAATTAGAGTAGAAATGGTGTAAAATAGGTTAGACAAGTGTGATCTTTTCTTTCCCTCTCTCCCTCCTTCTCTTTCAAAAGGCAAAGTTCTTAAGCTCAGTCTTATCCATGGCAAATAAATTTTCCAAATGATCAATTGAATCAATTAGAGGGCATGTAATTAAGAATATTTGAAATAATTGACAACACTTTAAAAAGAACGTAATAAAAAAGAGATAAATAAAATATTTTTCTCACAGTATTTCTGTTACATTTGACATCATAAACATGTCAATTTTACATAAAATTTGCCACAAAATAGTGTCGGTATTAATTGTTTTGTATTAATTTCTCACATAATATTTGTATTATTTTTTAATATAACTCTCGTCGTTGTGCTAAATTAACACTAAAATTTGAATTATTCTGGACATGTGAAATGTGTTAAATTTGACACAAAATTTGTTTACTATGTAAAATTTTTACTGCATAAAGACGAACCAAATTTCTCTTCGATAAAGTTTCATGATATTCTTGTAAAGAGAACAAATTCTTCTTTTGAATGTACAACGATGAAAATTTCTCTGAAATTTGTGATGAGCATATTTGGAGACTGTTACGAAGAAAATAATCTTTGTTGAAGATAACCATTATTTAAAAGAAGGAAGGTAAACTGAGCGATCAACTTTCTTAGCAGTGGAATTATATTTCTCTGTGTGTAGATTCAAAAGTTGAAGAGCACCACCACTTTTTCTTTATAAGAATTTTATAAGAATGGAAGAGTTAAGAAAAAAGGAGCGATTGTAAGGTTCGATTGTGACGCAAAGAGTTGAGAAGACTTAACCGAGTTGTTTGAGGAATCGATGCGACATCACGAAGAATTGTGTTTCTTTTCTCATAACGTACCGAGCTATAAATCTCAGAAATTAGAGCGAGAATCCGCGCGGGCGGTACGGTATAGAGAAGACGAGGGCTCGATAAACAGCCTGTATACGTCGTCGCGTACGACCACGAGCGCTTCTCCAATCGGAGATCGTTCGCCGAATTGTCCTACGTCGGAACGTTGCAGGAACTTCCCCATCAGAATGTGGTACATGGAGTACAAGGACTTCAAATACGGGGCCAATACGACGAATGACGTACTCGAGGTCGGCCATTACACGCAGGTGGTGTGGGCGACGACGCATCTGGTCGGGTGTGGAGTGAGCCATTGCACCGGCGGCAAGGGTCCGCTCGGCAAGGACTTCTACATGTATGTCTGCAACTATGCGCCAAGGTAATGCCGAATAATCCAAGAGACTATCGCGGAAAACGATAAATCTGCACGCGTATTACACGATCCGTACATTAACCAGGGGAATAGCCCGAGTACACAATGCAATCAGGTCATTAGAATTTTCTCTAATCGTATGCATTATCGATTTATCATTATGTACTGATTATTAAAAGAAACGGGAATAACACGACAAAGCGGTAATCTGCCAGCGTGATAGCGTTAACTGCGAAAGACAAAAAGCTCTGCTCTCTAGATTTCTTAGAGTGAAATCTCACTCAAAATAAGTGAAAAGGGATATCCAAAGCGATAGGGAGAACACTGCCGCTCGAAATAGCGAGAGTAAATGTTTCACTCAAGTTTAGAGTGAATTCTGACTCCTATAAGTGAATGTTTCAGTCGAAGTGAATATGTTTCTGTGAAGGTGGAGCATCAAATTTACTTTTCAATTATTAGTGAAAATATTCACTTGAGATTAAGACTGAAGAATTCACTCCATATAAACGGAAAAATACACGAATTCGAATGACTCGATCGTCACCTTACTTTTCTAATCCAATTTTACTCTAACAAATTTATATTCAATTATAAAATAAAAACAAAGTCCATGAAACTCGAAAATTGTTTGTGTAAATAAAACTTGAAAAATCAAATTTAATAATTTATTATTGACAATATTATATATCACAAGTGTCTTTGCGTTATCGATCGAAGACGAATTTACATTCTCTAAATCTCTTGGAGTTTCACTAGAAAAGCAAAGTGGTCATCAAGTCACTCGAATTCGACTGATTCTTGACTTGTATCCGGAATAGAGAACTCACTCTATATAAGTCAAGAATCAGAGTCGAATTCGAGTATATTCACTCTTCTGGAGTCGTTCATTCAGTTTCATTCATTGAAATATTCACACGTGTGAAGTCAATTCATTCTAAGCTTGAGTGAAAGACTCATTCATATCATTTCAAGTGGCAGTATTTTTACTGTCGCTTCGAGTGAGAATATTATTTTTCGCTTTCAGTGAGAATCCACTCTAAGAAATTTAGTGCGTACGTTCCTAAAATACCAGTGACCTAATTGCAATGCGTGATTTTCGGATTTTCCAGTTGAACCTTCCGCGACGGGGATTTTGATCGTTGCGCGTCATGGGGGTGTAATTTTTTCCCGAGAAGTCTTATATCTCGAAGGAAGATCCAGCGTATATCATACGGTAGAGGTCACGAATAATCTTGCCGTTATCATATAATACGAAGAAACCCTCGGGAGTAGCCCTTTCGATACCCGTTAAATCAACGAGCACGCGTAGTTAAATGTGATGAAATGTGATGTGTTATTTGGATTCTGGCGTAATCAGATGGTCGCCTTTGTCACTATTACGGAATTCACGAAACGGAACATGCGTATTCACGCTTCGCGTAGATTAGACACCGATGCAACGCGCAGCGCAATTATTTTCGCTGGTGTGGGACGTGTGCGTCGTTTACCCGTGACTGTTATGATATATGGTTGTTTCTGCAACACAGCGATTGCAATTGGGCCAGAACTTAGTTCATTAGCTTGGAATTGACGCAATAATTTGCCGAAGGGGAGCACGGCGGATTGAAACGGTTAACCGTAAACTTGGCGAAAGTAGCTTGCGCGAGAGAACGCGCGTCGTTGTCAAAGGGTCTTGGTTACACCGATATTCGTGCGCCGAAAAAGGAAGAGGTCAAAGCTGATTGTCGAGGCATTAATATGAGCGGAATAAATAAGAGGAAAATAGAGAGAGAGAGAGAGAGAGAGAGAGAGAGAGAGAGAGAGAGAGAGAGAGAGAGAGAGAGAGAACAGGGAGAGAGAGAGGTCGGCGAGGAAGACGGAGAACTTGATTAAAGTACGCGTACACATACGCATACCCGACTCTTTGTGCAACAGTAATTAGTAGCGCTACAAGCACATTTTTGAAAAGGAACTCTGCGCTGGTTAAGTGTCCAAATAATTACACTGCGCCGCGCACACATACATGCGTCTTTAGGAAATTTCTTCTATCCCTCAAGATGTTAACTTTCACGTGAATCCCTGTGAAAAGTTACAGGCTGTTGTCGGAGAGATGTTAAAGGAGAGCATTGCTGAATAATCCATGTTACTAGGAATTCAAATGTAAAGTGGAAGAGAAGGAAGGAAGTGTGATAATTTACGGAGCATTAGAGAGACTTGTCGTTTCGGATACGGAAGATAAGCGAGAACTGAAGGTCTCCATGGAACACTTTGAGACCACACGAATCTTTGATCGAGGTTTCTTAAGCGCGCGACATTAAGGGTCGGTTTTTCAATAGCAGTTTAAACTCTTGGATTCAAGTTTAAATTCTATTCTAATAATGCGTTTGTTGTGTTAAACAGAGTTTAAGTTGAAATCTAAGTTTAAACTATCATTGAAAAACCAGCCCTCAGAGACACATCTGTGTTTTTCATGTTTCGAAGTGTGTGAACAACGCGCGTGGTTGTTCTCCTTCAGTTTACTCCCACAGTTAGCCGCGGACGTGTTGCGGACACGACACGCTAAGAGCAGCTCGGAAGAGATTCTCGTTTGCGGAAATACGACGGTGTCGGTAGCTCCTGAATGGAAAGGAACGTTAGTCACCCGTGACCCAGTATTTCAGCGTCTCGCATAACGCGACTGCTCGCGCGCCCATACCTGAACGGATTCAGTGACACAGGGAGCGATCACCGAGGATGCGATCTCCCGTTGGACACTCCGTGTGTATGTGTGTGCACTTGTGACCGGCAGTCTTTTCTACGAACGAAAATAACCAATGTGTATTCAAGCTCATGCGGGTATAGCGCGTAAGCATCCTCTAGACGCGCTGAAATATGTAAATCCTATATTTATATACTGTGTAAGGGACGTAACACGTGTATACACAAGTAGAGAGAAAGAGAGAGAGAGAGAGAGAGAGAGAGAGAGAGACGCACACAGACACGTATACACAAATATTCCCGTTCATCCAACCCATACACGTACATGCACTCGGGGGAAAACAGGAGGAACAAGGAAAACAAGGAAAATGGTGACACCGGTGCGGAATATATGCAGCGTCAGCGGGAGTTATAGCTCGTTCGTCTTTGTCATGCCCATTGTGGCACTTAGACGGCTCTCTTTGTCACCAGTATGGCATACTTTCTCGGTATACTTATGGCTTTCGTTGTACCACGGCAGAACCACGTACACACGGGGTATTCGGTGAAAAGCACGCGACGCGTGATATTGCGGGAATGAAATACTTAACAGTTTTTCTGCTCGAAGAGAGAGACAGAATGATCGCTCGACTTCTTTCTTAAATTTAATAATTAACGAGAGACGCCTGACACTGACACGATGCATAAATTAGATGAGTGAACATCGCGAGAAGCAGCCTGTGACAAGGGAGTATTTATCACGACGAATTGAAAGGTACAGGTGACTTCTAAAAGGATGACATCGGAAGTAATTTCAAGTAAAAATGGACACCGTGATATTTAAACGTCCGTTATTTCTAGGCAGCTGTCTGCCTGTCTGTCTTTTCGATGAGATTTAGAGAACCAAACTAAAAATTGCACGTTTCCGCTTTGCTCAGAGAGAAGGTGATCCTAATTATGGAGCACGGAGGTACAAAAGCTGCTTTAACTTGGCAATTTTGATCTCTCAGTATCGGCGAAGCTTCAAAGTTTGCTTTAAATATCTTGCTCGGTCTATTAATACAGGGCAGGGGAAAAATTACAAATAGCGGAGCGGCGCGCAGTTACTTTTGCGCCCTCGAGTAAGCCGTTCGACTGAGTGACAACAAAATAAATGATTATCTCGGGGACATTTCACGCGCGAGCGAGTCGCGCAATTAGAATCCGCTTCGACCGCTGGCAATTTATCGCTCCTGCAGTTCGTACAAAAATGCCGGCGACCCAGTTCGGAACTAAGGATTCCTACAAATCGCGCGGCTATATATCCCTCATATCGATCCACCGCAATACGCAGACCCGATAAATTCTCCGCGGGATCCGTTCTAATACGATCGGCGACGAGTCCCCCGCAGCTTCATATATTCGCGTTACAAGACGACGTACTAATGGACAAACACTCTCACACGGTCGGCGGTATTAGCTTCCCTGTCGTAGCCACGCGAGTCACTTCGAACTCATCTGCCCTGCGCGTTTTCGCAAAACGACGAGAACAGAGATTATTATGAAATGCAAATATTCCGAACGGTGAGATATAGAGCGGAAATTCGGAGTCCATTTTTGTCAACGAGTTGTCGGATAGCCCTTAAGCTGCAAGTCGACGAAAGAGCTGCTCGAGAATTAAGCTCCGAGAACAGATGACAGCAAAATAAAGGAAACAAAGATTATGGTGAAATGCAAATATTTAGAATGATGAGAGGACGCACTGTAAATCCAGATGTATCATTTTTAAACATACGAGCGTATTATTTGTCTTTATGTTTTTTGCGGTTCATGTCACTCGACACATTTGTGAGGCGTGTAAATTATAATTTAATACACGTGTCAAGTGAGACAGTAAGAAATACGCAAAAAGAGAGCCAAAATAAAACGCTTGGATTTGCGTTGAATTTGGATTTATGTTGAAATTTGAAGTCAATTTTTATCAACGAAGCAATCGAAACATAGCCAGCTTTTAAGTTACAAGCCAACGGAAGAGCTCCTCGAGTATTAAATTCCGAGTATGAAAACTAAACAAAATAAATAAAATAAAGATTGGTATAAAATAAAAATATTTAGAATAGTGAATACGGTAAAATAATGCGTAGAAATTTGGGACCAAATTTTATCAATGAAGAGATCGAGGCATTGATAATCTTAAAGCTGCAAGTCAACGAAAGAGCTTCTCGAGAATTAAGTTTTGAAAGTGACAACGTATGACAGTAAAATAAAAAAAACGAAGATTATTATGATTTGGAAATATTTAGAATGGCGAGAACGGTGAGATAATACGTGGAAATTTGGGACCACTTTTGTCGACGAAGAAATCGAGGTACTGATAGCTTTCAAGCTACAAGTCACCGAAAGAACTTCTCGAGAATTAAGCTCCGAGAACGTAAACAGATGACAGAATGTTATTCGTTATCTTCGGGCCGTAGTATCTACACGATCCACAGAGAGAGAATTCAAACAGCGCGGCGAATTCACGTCAAAAAATCTTGACAATCCAAGCGTGGAAAGTTTGAAAAGGCGCAGGAAGAAATGCAAATATCGCGAAAGAGGATCCTTAAAAAGAAAAGAGAAAGTAGAAAAAAAAAGAAGAAACGCAAAGGCTCAGGAACGTTTGAATCCCGGAAATTTTCAAGAGCAAAGTACACAATTGAAGAATCGTGAAAATGAAATTCCGGAAAAACGCGAAAAGGAGAGATCTCAGGGTGAATTCTAACCGGCTCTCGGATGAGAGGGAAGAGAAGGCGGCCAGGTGCGAGGTGCGAGGAGAGAGAAGGGG